TGAATATTCTTGACCAGTCAGGGAGTGGTAAAAAAAAATAATCATCCACCCTAATATTTCTTACATAAATCTACTACAGTAAGGCGGGTCTATCAGTGACTAAGTAAACATAGTGCCCGTTATGTTTGATCTACCCAGGGCTTCACACACACATACACACACACACACACAGAGGAGTAAACATCAGAGGGTACTATAAATCAAGAGAAGCAATATATAATGGTGATACCTTTTGTGGATCTTGACCTGTGTCATCAGGAATTTTCAAAAAAACAATTTATTTATCTGTTATTGTCATTGTTGTTAGATGCCAATGAGTTGGTTCCAACTCATAGTGACCCATGCACAACCGACCAAAACACTCAAAATTGCTGTTTTTTAGATGTTCAGAATATCCAGTTCCCAGTTAAAAAAAATCTGGTTTTGACCCATTCAAAGGCTAATAATAGTTTCATGGACTGTACTAATGTTATACCCTAACATAATAGCCATTTAAGGAAATAAATGAGTAACCTCCAAATTGCTTATTTGTAATAGAATAATACAGGAAGGCTGCATTTACACGGACCTGAGCAATTCAGCACTGATTTAGAATATCCGTTATAAAGGTAATAAAGTACCTTTATTATTTTTTGTTCACTCATTTAAGAACACTAACCTGAATTAAACACACCTAAAATTTCATTCAGTCTTGCTCAACATAGCAAAGTTTCCTAAAATAGGCTTTATAATTTGTTATGGCAGTTTGAGTACATGTTTTAATGATTAATAATGCTGTTGTTATGTGCTGTCAAGTCGGACCCGACTCATAGTGACCCCTCCTTGGGTTTCTGAGGCAGTATCACTATGGAAGTAGATTGCTCCATCTTCCTTCCGAGGAGTGGCTGGTGGGTTTGAACCACCAGCCTTGTGGTTAGCAGTCAAGTGCCTTAGGTACTACGCTACCAGAGCTCCTAACAGGGACCTAGGCCAATCAATAGTTCAAGCTGAAATCCAAAGTAATATAATTAATGTACTGTAAAGTCATACAATGTAATGCTAGCACATTTAATTTTTAACAGGAAAAAGCATGAGGGAATGCTTGCTTTTCCATCAGAATCTGGGTTTTCCAGACCTGTCTTAAATTGTTCTGATCTGAGCTACTTAGGATATCAGGAATGAGATTAGATATTAACTGAGCCCCTGGATAAAATCTAGAACTATCCTCAAAGCACATTATAATAGTGTGAATTTAGGGAGAATCAGGAAAGGTAAGACTTGCTGACCATACTAGAACTAAATTGATATTGATCACAGGAAGTAAGCACCCACTGATTCTTAAACAAAAAGAACGTCCAGGAATGTGCTCTCTCTCTCTCTCACGCACACACACACACACATACACACACATACAGCCTGGGTCTATGTCTACCAGCCTCCAATTAATCCAGCCATTATCAGTTAATGAACTTATCAGAGATCCTGGATTTTCAATTCTGACCGTTGAGTCAAGAAAAGAAAAATGGCTATTTAATAGAGTCAAGTGGACAGTTGGGTACGGAGTAGTAGCTGACTTCATTGGCATGCATTATATCTCTGCTAAAATTCCCATCCCAAGGAGATCCTGGTGGTGATAGATAGAGCCCACATAAGTGTGGAAAAAGAGAAAGTACCTCTTTTTGATAGATGCATTGAGGCTCACTAGAACCCATCAGGCTCCTTCTCTCACATATCTCGCATATAGTAGGATTAAGAGAGATGCTTTGAAAAGCACTGATATCATCTGAAGATAAATAGCCAAAACATTTTAAGAATGGGCCAAGGGCCTGAAAAACAGGAAATTATTGCCTAGTACAGCTAAAGAAAGAGGATTCCCCCATATACACATATTCCAACTTATTATTAAAACAAAACAACAAAAAAAGCAGGATTAAATTTAACATGCAAATTGTAGGCAAAGTATCATATCAAATGATAATTGATCAAGTGAAAAAGGTTCCTTTTCATTCCATTTTACAATAGCTTGTGCTAAGAGTCACTGAAAAATTTTGGTAAAATGTGCAGCATTCAGAGTTGTATTGCATGCATTCTCTCAGCAGCATTTTATGTGAAAGTGCATGCACAGACTCAGGCGATCGCAAGCCGTTTCAGCTATGATCAAGAGCAATTTTCCACACATTGCAATGTGAAAGTTCTTCAACTATGAACAACTTGTCAAGACAGCCTGCATGCAAATATATACTAGTTGCTTGAGAAGACAGAATTTGAAAATATATAAGCAGCATTCATGTGATACAGAATTCCTGAGAATAGCGTGTGCTATATATCTTTGAGAAATAATTTGTATTCATGTGAACACCATGATATGAAACATTTCTTTCAGCTAAAGCAGAGTCATCTATAGCCAACATCTGCTGAGGTGCTGTCCATATTTTACTGCCAACAGTGACAAAGGCATAACTAGAGACTACTGTAGTGTTGCCACAAAAAGAAAATTTGGGTATTCTTTTCATTGTGTTTATTTTTTAAATCACTTTTAAAAGTATCAGAGAAGGCATTTTATAAATAAATGTGTTACAATTTTTCATTATTAAAAATAACTTTCTCTTTTTGTATTTTGCCCACAAGTAAGTAGTCAATAATTGCCTGATGGGAGGGCCAGGTAAAAATAATTTGGAAAGAGAAGAATACTCAAGGACAAACCTATCTTTATTCTTGGCCCTTATAAGACATATCTCTCTGTCTTGTGTACCTAATTTGGAAAGACACAAATGCTGGGTTTATTTGTGTCTTCCCTGGGCATTGTTGTTGTTGTTGTTGTTATGTGCCGTTGAGTCGGCCCCGACTCATAGCGACCCCTCCTTGGGTTTCCGAGGCAGTATCACTACGGAAGTAGGATTGCCCAACCTTCCTTCCGAGGAGTGGCTGGTGGGTTTGAACCGCCAGCCATCTGGTTAGCAGGCAAGTGTCTTAGCCACTATAGCATAGAAAGTGTTTATTCCTGGTAACTGTATACATTTTACTAACAAAGAAAAGGGAGTTACAAAAATGGATATATTTAAATGCTTTAGTGGAAATGATTGCTATAAATAAGCAGGTGTCAGAACAAGAAACTGTCTGTCATCTGAATGGAGGAATGCCACGTGGCAAGAGGACGTGAGGAAAGTTTAGAGTCTGAGGGCCCTCCCCCTGATCATAATCACAGGGTAAATAGAAAATAAAATATTTTTGACAAGACAAATCCATCAAAAACTGTAATCTCTCAGCTTTTCCCCAGAGGGAAAGAAGAAAAAAAAATAAAAGCAAGACATTTTCAGTGCTGAAACTATAAAAATAGTTTTCTAGAGAAACAATAAAGAATATGCAAAGTCACTTAATTTTCATTGTGTTTAATGTGGTCTTTTTACATTTTCAAAATAACTAGGTTTTGCTTCACTGGGCAAAAATAATAGGTTGTGTGTGTGTATGTATATGTGCGTGTGCGTGTGTGTGTGATCCCTTACCCGACTCCCAGCCACCCAGGGAAGAAAAACTAATGCTGGCCTTGACTGTTTTGTAAGGAAAAATGTCTTGTTTTCTAACACACATTTCTTTCCCTCATCTCTCCTCTGTCACTCCATCCCATCTCCACAGTTTATGCCTCAACAGCACTCGCTTTAGTTGAACACCTGGCATTCCCTGTTCCTCAGTCTGTGAACAGATATACTCACAGATACAGAATCAACATAACGTAGCAACTCAAATCAGACTCAATTTTGCTAATGCTATGCATCTACACAAAAATCAAAATGATGTCTATAACAATTAATTTCACTTTCCTTCTAGGGAAAAACAATCTATCAAATCAATGAACCAGACTAATGTGCAAAGAAATAATAACAGAAAACTCCCATAAGTTATGTAAAAGAAAGTGAAAATTTTAAAAAATATCTTTCTACAAATAATATAGATTTATATTCATGCATTGTTTTCATTAGCTCATGAGCAAGAGTATACATTGTTGGAAAAGCATAAATGTTATTATCTGGCTTTGCAAGTCACAATGGCATATCGTGTATGGCATTACATACTGTCAAGGTTTAATAGCACAAGAAAAAATGTTTATTAACTTGAAGTTAACACTCTGTGAGAACAGTTGAAGTAAGTCAGTGAGGGTAAAATTAAACACACTATAACATGGCATGCCATAGTCAAGTACGAATTAATTGTTAGCTAAATGATACAAAAATGACCACACATATTGTATAAGTATGTGGCTCTATTGGCTTTTAATGAAAAAAATATACATATATGTGTACTTCAACTGGCTCTGCCAAAGAGAAAACAGATTTGGATGTAGCCAATGCAATAAAATATCATTTTAATGAATGGTATTCTTTTTGGAATCTTAAGTTTTTGGTTTGAATACCAAAGGTGATGTGTAACTCTTCAACTGCATAGTTGATGTAAAGCAGCATTAAGTTCCTTTGTGGCACAAATCCATGATTTCAGTAAGAGGCAAGGACAATTCCTACAAACCTGTAAGCTGAAGGACTGAGTGCTGACAGAAAAGGCAATAATTGATTTGTCATTGTTTTCAAGCATCTCAACTAGGAACAAAGGTTTGGAAGTCAGATTGACATATGATTGAAAACCACACAAGGCTTTAAGTTGTTCTGCCAGGCTTTTGAACATTTATGTGGTGACCTGTGTTTAGAACCTCATCACCATCCTTCCTATTACACTCCAGCTGATGGAAGGCAGAAGTCTCCAAACACACAACTCCTTGGGGCATCTTCTGACAATTATATCCTGGTTTCCTGCAATGTTAATCTAACCATTTTTTAAGGTTCTGAGGCATATTTTTCTTCCCTAGAAGCCAGATATTACAAATCTCAGGGAAGGCTGTAATGTATTTCCAAATAACATATCACACATGCAGTTTACCATGTATACTTTCATCCTAGATTCCCCCTAGAATTTGAAGCTGACATAGCTCCTTCCAACTAATGATACCACCTCTACTGGGTAACAGGTTTCAGCTAAGGCCACTCATGGTGAACAGGCTGACCACTTCTTTTCCGCTGTTGTTGCAAATGTTCCAGTTCAGCCTCATACATCATTTCTTGGACTAAGTACTTCTCTCGTCTTATTCGATCATATAGGTCTTGTGGTACATCGGGAATCAGGAATGCAATGAAAGACTTGATCCCAAAAACAAGGTGCTGCAGATTTAAGAGGAGAAAATACGTTTTTCAAATATTCTGGAGTGCTAATTATAAAACAGAACAATCATGAACAATGTTGCATTTTCCTTAAAATCATGCATGAGAGTACAGTATCTACCATCTAGAATGTTAATATCTTCAACAGTTGTATTGACTGGGAATACTACAGTAGCCCTCGAACACTTAAGTGGTAGTAGGAAACAGGATTGTTTTCTCTCTTCACTGCCACATGCTAAAATAATTTTATAAATACTGAATGAATCTTAAATTCAAGTCTATAAAATCCTTCCATATTACACAATACTATTATGATGTACATTGTAATATACAATAAGAAAGGGCATGTGCAGGGAGAAAGCATGTCCAGTAAATCATAAAAATAAAGTACAAGCCATGTAGCATGTGGACCATGTAGTATATGGACTGTGTGGAGAGCTGGATCAGACTCAATCTCCAGCATAAGAACTTTTACTCTATAATTAAGCTAACACTTAATCACTATTACATATGTTTTTCTATAATAAAAATATATTACTCTGTTTAAAAAATAAACTGTCAAAATGTATTATATATTAAACATAAAAGCACAGGAGCAAAACTCAACAGGCAGTATGTCTAATGGTTAAAAGTACCGGTGATGAACAAATCCTTTCTGACACTCATTAGGTGAGTAACCCTAGGCAAATCACCTACCTTCTCTCTGCCTCAGTTTCCTTATCTCTGAAAAGGTGATAATGATAGTATGTTTCAGGAGTTGGCATGAAGATTAAATGACAAAACATACGTGAATGGCTTAAAAAAAAAGGCTTGGCTGATTGTAAGTACTATTTCAATACTAACACTTTTGATCATAAATGCATCCTTTTTCTTTTTTTATGAATAAGAGTAGAGCTTCCAAAATGTCAGAAAGGAAAAAAAAAATCTAATACTAATAGGATTAGGATGATCTTCTAGTAAACAATAACCTTATGTGGAAGTGAAGAATACAAGGAATTTTACACTGTGCTTGTTATGTGTTCTTGAAAATTTCATTGCAAAGTAGAAGATATCTAGGAAAGCATAGTAAATCAGGTCATATTTTCCTTTATACATAAAAGCAGATAACTAGGAGTTTCATTCCTGACCAAATATCTGATATGTAGTGATCTACAGAAATAATCAGTAATATTACTTGAGAAAGAAAAAATTGAAAAATGTTTTTATGGTTCAAACAAGTAAAGAATATACTCCAAATCCTATAAAATGGTCATAAATTATCCAATGAACTGATTTACATAGACAAGTTAATATGCAAGTGTGGTTCAACATTAAAGGAAGAAATCTATAAATTAAATGTATACATTCATGGAATGATATGATTAGTTTAAGAGATAAAAAAAAAAAAATTCACTAATGTTTAATATCCACTTATTGAGAAACTATTAAGTAGCCAGTGAGAAAAAAAAATTTTCTTAAACTGATAGTTTATCTTTAAAATAAATATATAAAAATAAAACTGTAGCAAATATCATACTTAAATAAAAATATATTCAGAAGTATTTCCACTGAAGTTGGAAACAAGACATGACTGCTTACACCATTACTGTTTAACATAATGTAGAAATTTCTAGCAACACAGTAAGGCAAGCAAAAGAAAAGAAAAAAAAAAAAGAAATCAAGAAGGAAAACTATCATTAATATTAATGGTAATATTAAAATCCAACTTATTTAAGAACTATGAGAACCAGTAAGAGCCTTGAAAAAAGAACTATGCTCATCTTAAAAAGATCAGCAGTATTCCAGTACATCAAGAAAACTTAAGTAAATCATATAATGAAAGAAAAGGTGTCATTCACAATAGCAGCAGGGAATGTCTATAAAGTTTATAGAAATGGACTTTAAAAGGAATGAACAAACTTATAGGGAATATTTTTTAAATTCTGTTAAAGGACATAATAAATTCCATGTTCATTAATGAAACAGTAAAAATTTTATAGATATGTGAAAGTATCCTCAATGATTTCTACAAATGTAATTCTAGCCAAAATTTTTGCATGCCATTCAGGAGTAATTGAAATTCATGAATTATAAAATTTATATGGAAGATTACCATCTTCAAATTGTTGTTGTTCTTATGTGCTGTTGAGTCGTCTCCAACTTGTGGTGATTCCTCATTGGGTTTTCCGAGATGGTATCTTTCCTGTCTTTAAAAAGACAGGAAAGAAAGAAAACACCAAAATGGATGTCAGAATAAACTGAAACTTGCCATTGATTATAGAGTAGCTAAGGCAAATGGAAGAATGATGATGTAAAGGAGCTGAATGGAAAACTTCAAAGGGCAGCTTGAGAAGACAAAGTAAAGTATAATGAAATGTGAAAAGTCTTGAAGTTAGAAAACTAAAAGGAAAGAACAATCTTGGCATTTCTCAAGCTGAAAGAGGTGAAGAAAAAATTTAAGCTTCAAGTGGCAATATTGAAAGATTCTAAGGGCAAAGTTTTGAACAACACAAGAAACATCACAATAAGATGGAAGGAATACAGAGTCATTGCACCAAAAATAATCCAAACATTTCAGGAAGTAGCAAATGATCAATAACTGATGGTACTGAAGGAAGAAGCCAAGCTGCACTGAAGGAATTGGTGAAAAACAAGGCTCCGGGAATTGATAGGATAACAATTGTGATGTTGCAACAAACAGATGCAGTGCTGTAAGTATTCACTCATCTGTGCCAAGAAATTTGGAAGACAAGCTACCTGGCCAACCAACTGAAAGAAATCCATATTTGTGCCCATTCCAAAGAAAGGTGATCCAACTGAATGTGGGAATTTTTGAACAATAACAATATCACATGCAAGTAAAATTTTGCTGAAGATAATTCAAAAATACTTGCAGCAATACATAGGTAAGGAGCAGCTAGAAATTCAAGCCATATTCAGAAAAGGATGCAGAATGAGAGACATTATTGCTGATATCAGGTGGATTTTGGCCGAAAGTAGAGAACACCAGAAAATTTACCTGTGTTTTAGTTACTATGCACAGGAATTCCACATTGTGGATCATAACAAATAATGGATAACATTGTGAAGTACAGTAATTCAAGAACACTTAATTGTGCTCATGCAGAACCAGTTCAGAGCAAGAGGAGACAGAGTGTTTTAAAATCAGGAAAGATGTGCATCGTAGTTGTATCCTTCCACCACACTTACTCAGTATGAATGCTGAGCAAATAATACAAGAAGCTAGAATATATGAAAAAGAACATGGCATCTTAGAGAGATGCAAATCAAAACAACAAGATACCATCTTGCCCTAGAACTAATTTGTTGTTGTTGTTATGTGCCATCGAGTCAAACTCGACTCATAGCGACCCCTCCTTGGGTTTCCAAGGCAGTATCACTACGGAAGTAGGATTGCCCAACCTTCCTTCCGAGGAGTGGCTGGTGTGTTTGAACCGCCAGCCGTCTGGTTAGCAGGCAAGTGTCTTAGCCACTATGCTACCAGAGCTCCCCTAGAACTAATAGTAAAGTTCAAAACCAAACAAAACCAAACTCACTGCTGTGGAGTCAGATCCAACTCAGCGACCCTTCCTTAGGTTTCTGAGGTGGTATCTCTACAGAAGTAGATTGCCCAACCTTCCTTCCAAGGAGTGGCTGCCCACCAGCCTTCTGGTGAGCAGTCAAATGCCTTAGGCACTAAGCCACCAGAGCAAAGTTCAACAAGACAGAAAATAAATTCTGGTGAGGATGTGGGTATATTAAGACTCTCGTACACTGCTGGTGGGACTGTCAAATGATACAACCATTGTGGAAATCAGTATGGTGATTCCTTAAAAAGTTGGAATTAGAAATACCATTTGACCCAGCAATCCCATTGCTACGTATATATCCTAAAGAAGTGAAAGCCAGGACAAGAACAGATATATGCACACCCATTTCATCACAGCACTATACAATAGCCAAAAGATGGCAACAACCTAGGTGCTCATCAACAGAAGAATGGATAACCAAACTATGGTACATAAACACAATGGAATACTATGCAACATTGAAGAATAATTTAGAAAATATTAGGAAGTTAGGTCATGTGAGGAGATGGTGAAAAGGCAAGGAAATGGGAAAGCTCACCCATCATCCACTGCTGCTGGGAGTGTAAAAACTTGCAGTCATCTGCAGAACAATCTGCCAATATTTCCTGAAACTGAGTGTGCACCTAAACGATAGATTCCACACCTAGGCATATACTCTTGAGAAACCCTTAAACATGTCCATGAGGTAACATGTCCAAGACTATTAATTGACATTTATTTGAGGTACAGGATTGATGTAAGTCTTGGTATCCAACCTAGGTGAATATGGTATTTACATTTGATGAAGTAACATACAGTAGGCAGAAGAAATGGTCTACACATGGATAGATCTCGTGGACAGATATCGCTCTCAATCTAAAAAGTGTAAAATATGAGAGAGCTGAAATGTCTTATTACACAATATTACTGATGTAAATTTGAATAAAGTATCAAAACTGAACCAAACCCACTGCCACTGAGTCGATTTCAACCAATAGCATCCCATTAAGACAGAGTAGAAGTTTCTCATAGAGTTTTTAAGGCTGTAAATCTTTATGGAAACAGACTGCCTCTCTTTCTCTTGCAGAGCAGCTGGTGGGTTCAAACAGCTATTATTTTGGTTAGCAGCTGAATGCTGTAAGCACTATGTCACCTGGGCTCCTTTGAATAAAGAACACTAAAAAGTAAGTGTATATAAAAACACATACATTAAAAATTACTTTCCTAAATCATAAATATGCATAAAGCCCTTATGTTACCTGTAATAAAGTGGAAAGTATTTGATCAGGAGACATTTTTAGAAGTTCATAAAGTCATTAAGTAATAGAATTTCAGATCTGGATGAGATATTACAGGTAAGCATTTCATTTTCCATGTAAAGAACATTTCACTACAAAATTTGAAATACTTTATGAAAATCAGTTGAGAGGCAAAGATGTCTTTAATTAGACTTTTCCCCAAAGTCTTAGCTTTGGTCAGGTTTTCTCTCTGTAATTTTAGCCATAGGAAATAGATGCATTCAGTGTTTCCCTAGGCCTTAGTGCTGCATCAGAGAGCACTCAGCATATTCTAGTGCAAAGTGCTTTACTGTATCACTGAGTTACATAAAAACAAGGTAATAATACTGTAACTTCTACAAAATTCCTTTAAAGGATGTCAATCTAATATTGCATGACTCTGACAATCAAATCTATGTGCTTTTTATAAAAGTTTCTCAGGCATCACTCAACGAATCATCCTGTGTCCTTTATACAAATACACATGTGATCAACTGTAATTGAAGTTATTGAAAATATGCTTCTCCACCCTGACAATTTTATATACATTATTTTATCAGATGCCAAATATGATGTATCCCATCCTTTCCTTTATAAATTTGGTTATTGTTGTTGTTAGGTGCCATTGAGTTGATCTCACCTCATAGTGACCCTACACACAGCAGGTCGATACTGCCTGTTGCTGTGCCATCCTCACAATCATTGCCATAGTTCAGCCCATCATTGCAGCCACTGTGTCAATCCACATCATTGAGGGTCTTCTCCTTTTTCAGTAACCTTCTACAAGATACCTTTCTCCAGGAACTGGTTCCTTCTGACAGCATGACCAAAGTACAGGAGATGAAGTCTGACCATTCTTGCTTTTAAGGACCACTCCGGCTATACTTTTTAAAGACAGATTTGTTCATTCTTCTGGCAGTCCATGGTGCTTTCACTATTCTTCATCAGCACCACAATTAAAATGAAGCAGTTCTTCTGTCTTCCTTATTCATTGTCCAGCATTCACATACACGTGAGGATATTAAAAATACCACAGCTTGGTTCAGGCATACCTTAGTCTTCAAAGAGACATATTTGCTCTTTGAAGTTTTTGCAGTGGATTTTCCCAATGCAGCACATCATCTGATTTCCTGACTGCTGCTTCCATGGAAACTCAACACTAAACTTTCAGTTCAAATGTGTAGTACCTTCCTCTATCCTGTGTTTCTAGTACAAATATGCACTAATCTACCTTCTTACATTATTCTGTACTTGCTTTTTTGCTCTTATTACAATGGTTTCATTGTAGCCGAACCTTTTATTGAGAAACCACACAATTTTTTTTTTTTTTGGAAGTCAGTGAGGAAATGACTTCGAAGAGACAACTGATAAATCAGTTGGGGAAATATTTATCTATAGTAATTTTCTTCTAAGTCTGTGACTAACCTCAAACACAATAATGAAGGCCAATCGGGCAGCGAGGATATGCCAGTATTGTAAGGTGAACTCATAAGGTTTGGAACTCCAAGGGGGGCCTCTATAATCTCGATATCTGAAATACAAAAACCAAAGAATTGTGAAAATCGGAGGACAAAGCATGAAGACCAAAAACTGTTTTTAATTTTCCAAAACTACCAAAATGATCGTTTAAACGGACTCATTAATACATAGAAAGGAGCACATGAAATGGCAAAAACAAGCAGGAAAGATAGTTATAATTTGTAAGTCAGTACCTGCAGTAACCGGATTTTCCGACACCAAGCTCACTCAGGTCAAAGAATGATAGACTATTATTAACATACCCCTTTAAGCAACTAGAAGAGAAGAAAAGTACCATGTGATTCAGGGATTCATAAATTCTTAACGCAATACTTTCATTACAAATGACACTCTTTTATAAGTCCCGTTATTACTTTTAATCTAACTACAAACTTCTAGCAATTTAGTTTTCTTATTCTATTCCCTCACTTCACTAGACTTGTAATTGTATCTCAATGAGACAGCCTCATGTGGTGCCAATTTCCCACAATAGCTCCTAGGTTGCCCTTTCATTTGATTTACATTTCCTAAGTGATTACTGTGTATTGGAAGTGGTTGTAGTGGCACATTTGTTAAGTGCTTGGCTATTACTCCAAAGGTTTGTGGTTCAGACTCACCAGCCACTCTGTGGCAGTCTGCTTCCATAAAGATGACAGTCTTGGAAACCCTATAGGGCAGTTTTACTCTGTTCTATGTAGTCACTATGAGTCAGAATCAATTCCACAGCAATGAGCTTGGCCATGCACTAGGCACATATTAATTACTTCCTCTGCATTAAAACCTTTTAAATGTATGTTTAACAACTACACTTGCAATATTTGCCATTTCAACATTTTTTTTTTTACATATACAATTTGGTGTCATTAATTACTGAGGTTAATTGCTGAAGCTCAGTGCGTCATTTTGTGTCATTGAATATGAGTCATTTGGAAAAGATTAGTGTTCACTGAGTTATGCAGACCTCCCATTGACACATTTATATAGAATATTTTTCAAAATTCTTTTTCATTAATATCACCATTGATTTTATCAGAAAAAAATCTGTAAGTACTGGGAAACTTTCAGACTCACAGTAGTATAGATACAAGTTCTCTCAAATTCTCATTTTCACTTAAAAACTTGAACTTGATCATCAGCAACAAATACTGTCAGCTATTTTACATAAAATTGCAGGCTGATTCTATGCATTTTAAAATAAAATGTCTACAAAATGACAACTCTAAGTAATCATAGTTTGTCTGGCAATTTGTATTTCATGCTAAAAAACCAAACAGCTTGTTCAGTATGCAACTCAAACAAGTTCTTTTCCTTAAAGCAAGCATCATACTTTGGTAGGTAGAAGAAGCACTGTATGGTCACTTCTCATTAACATACTTAATCATGGGTGGATATTTGATTAAATTAATTGCTACTGCTTCAGCAAGGGCATTATGAAGTCAAACTGGTATTTTGTTTTATATTTTATATGGTGATTATATAGCAACAAGGAATATAATCATTAGTTCTGTTTGGTGCAATTGCCTTGAGTCATACAGACACACCAGAAATATTAATCAAAATCAGAAAAATTAATATAAATATTAATCTTGTACCATCAGTTAGAATGACAAAAAGCTAAGAAAGATAAATAACATATTAATTGTTGTTAGGTGCCATCGAGTCATCTCCAACTCATACCAACCCTATGCACAGCAGAATGAAACACCACCAGTCCCGCACCAGCTCCATGATCCCCGCTATACTTGAGCTCATCGCCACAGCCACTGTGTCAATTGATCTCCTTGAGGGCCTTCCCCTCTTTCATGGACCCTCCACCTTACCAAGCATGACATCCTTTTTCAAGGAATGGTCCCTTCTGACAACAAGACCAAAGTAGGTGAGACGAAGTCTGGCCATTCTCACTTCCAAGAAGCATTCCTGCTGCACTTCCTCCAGGACAGATTTGTTAGATCTTTTAGCAGTCCATGGTACTTTCATCATTCTTTGCCAGCACCACAACTCAAAAGCACAAACTTTTCTTTGGTCTTCCTTATTCATTTTCCAGCTCTCACATGTATATGAGGTGACTAAATATACCATGGCTTGTGTCAGGCACACCTTAGTCCTCAAGCAGATATCTGCTTTTCAGCACTTGAAAGAGGTCCTTTACAGCTGATTTGCCCAGTGCTATATGTCATCTGATGTCCTGACTGCTGCTTCCATTGGCGTTGACGGTAGAATCAAGCAATGTAAAGTCTTTTCTCCATTTATCATGACACTGCTTATAGGTCCAGTTGTGAGGGTTTTTGTTTTCTTTATATTTAGATGTATTCCATACTGCAGACTGTATTCTTCAATCTTCATCAGTAAGTGCTTCAAGTGATTCTCACTTGCAACAAGCAAAGTTGTGTCATCAGCATATCACAGGTTGTTAATGATTCTTCCTCCAATCCTGATGCCACATTCTTTTCCATATGGTCTTTCTTCTTGGATTATTTGCTCAGCATTCTGATTGGAAAGATACAACACTGACACACTCCCTTCTTGATTTTAAACCATGCAGTGTTTCTTTGTTCTGTTCAAATGACAGCCTCCTGGTCTATGTACAGGTTCCCCATGAGTGCAATTGAGTGTTCTGGAATTCCCATTCTTCTCAATGCTACCCATAACTTGTTATGATCCATACAATCACATGCATTTGCATAGGCAATAAAACACAAGTAAATATCTTTCTGGTATTCTTTGCTTTGAGCCAACATCCATCAGACATCAGCAATGATATCCCTCATTCCACATCTTCTTCTGGATTCAGCTTGCACTTCAGGAAGTTCACTGTCAATATATTGCTTGTTCTGGTTACCCAGTGCCTCTCTGACAAGAATATACCACATATGTGATGGCCTTAAGAAAGAGGAGTTTAATCTCTTACAATCTGGAGGCTTTAAGTACAAGTTCAAAGTTCCAGGCTCTAGGGGTTGGGTGAAAGCCCCTCAACCTTTGGGTCCAGCTCTGCCTCCTGCTCCCGGCCCACTGGAGCTAGAGGCGTTTCTTCACTCAGACAGCTGCTGAGAAGTCCCAAAGTTGACAAGTAAAAAGGCACAGTCCCGATGTTACCAATCTACATGGCAGGCCATTAACTTAAGTCCACTGTAAGTCCCAAGGTCGGCAGAGAATAGCAGGCTGCTGAGCAATGACACGGATACATGCAGGGCCCAAGCGTGCCATATGCTAGAGACCATTCTCAAAGCTTCTCCTTAAATACAGGAAGCAGACCATATCCCAAAGGCAGCTACTTAGCTTTTGTGGTAGATCCCACCATGGAGTTGATTGCCAGTCTCTTCATGAAGATTAACGACCACCAGTTGCCCAGGCACTCAACCAGGCCCAGCCAAGTTAACATGCAAACATAGCCATCACACTGCTGTAACCATTTTTGAACTACCTTCAGTAAGATTTTACTAGCATGTGATATTAATGATATTGTTTGATAATTTCCACATTCTGTGGGATCACCTTCCTTTGGAACATGTGCAAATGGATACAAATATGGATGCCTTCCAGCCAGTTGGCCAGGTAGCACTGCAACTTTTAGTATTGTAACTTGAGGCTTAAATTTTTTCCTTAGATCCTTCAGATTGAGAAATGCCTAGTGTGTTCTTCCCTTTTGGGTTTCTAACTCCAGGTCTTGTCACAGTTCATTAGAGTAATTGGCTTTCTCTGCTTGAGCTGCTCTTTGAAATCTTCTGTTCTGCTCTTTTACCTTGTCATTTCTTCCATTTGCTTTAGCTACTCTCTCTCTGCTCAAGGGCAAGTTCCAGAGTCTCCTCTGACATCTGTTTTGGTCTTTTCTTCCTTTCTGGTCTTCTTAATGATGTCTCACTTTCCTCATGGATGACATTTTTGGTGTCATACCACAATTCTTCTGGTTTTTGGTCATTAAATCTATTCTTTAGATGGTTTCTAAATTCAGAAGGGATATATTCAAGTCATATTTTGGCTCTTGGGGACTTGTTTTAATTGTCTTCAACTTCAACTTCAACTTGCATTTGAGTAGTTGATGGTCTGTTCTACAATCAGCTCCTGGCCTGATTTTGCCTGAAGATATAGAGCTTTTCCATTACCTCTTGCCACAGATGTAGTCAATCTGATTCCCGTGTATTCCATCTGATGAAATCCACATGTATAGCCACTGTTTGTGTTGTTGAAAAAAGGTATTTGCAATGAATAAGTCATTGTCTTGTGAAATTCTATCATGCGATCTCCAGTGTTATTTCTATCACCAAGGCCAAATTTTCCAACTACTGAAGATTCTCTTTTGTTTCCAATTTTTGCATTCCAGTCACCAGTGATAATTAACACATCTTTATTGCATGTTCTGTCAATTTCAGACTGCAGAAATTGATAAAAATCTTCAATTTCCTCATCTTTGGCTTTGGTGGTTGGTGCATAAATTTGAAAAATAGTAGCATGAACTGGTTTTCCTTGCAGATATATGGATATTATCCTATCACTGACAGCATTGTACTTCAGGATGGATCTTGGAATATCCCTTGTGATCATGAAGGTCACACCATTCCTCTTCAAATGGTCATTTCTGACATAGTAGATTGTATGGTTATCTGATTCAAAACCGCCAAAACTGGTCCATTTCAGCTCACTAATGCCTAAAATATCAATCTTTGTGTGTTCCATTTCATTGTTGACAACTTTCACTTTTCCTACATTCATACTTTGTACATTCCCTTTTCCGATTATTAATGGATATTTGCAGCTGTTTCTCCTTAATTTGAGTCATGCCACATCAGCAAATGGAGGTAACGAAAGCTTTACTTTACCTGTATCATTATGGTTGGTTCTACTCTGATGAGGCAACTCTTTCCCAGTTGTATTTTGAGTGCCTTCCGACCTAAGGGGCTCATCTTCTTGCACTGTATTGGACAATGTTTCCAGGCTATTCATAAAGTTGCCCAGTAATGTATCAGCCAGTGTTCCTCTGCTGTTCATAAGGTTTTTCCCTGGCCAATTCTCTGAGAAATGGATGGCCTCCTCCTTCTTCCTAGTCTGTTTCAGTCCGTAAGCTGCATTGAAACATGTGCACCATGTGCAACCCTGCTGGCATTTGAAACACCAGTGGCACAGCCTTAAGCCTCACAGCAACATGCAAGCTACCACAGTACGACAAACTGACAGACAAGTTCATCTCCTTTAGCTGTTGGAAATCTCTCCTCCCTCCCTTTATCTGGATCCTGGTGCTTTGTTGTCCCAGCTTTCCCTCTCCTTGCTGTCTCTTGGGTGGGACCCGTCTCCCTCTCTTTACCTGGATCCTGCTACTTTATCATCCCCCAATGTATTAATATTATTATTAAAATAGTTTTTTTTTAATTATAAAAATAGTTTTGATGTGATAGATCCCTGAAGATGGTCTTTAGACCTCCAGTGATCAGCAGATCACAGGATGAAGACCACTGCCCTTCATAAAGGAGCTCTGATAGCATAGTGCCTAAGGCACTTGACTGCTAGCCAGAAAGCTGGTGGTTCAAACCCACCAGCCACTCCTCGGAAGGAAGGTTGGGCAATCTACTCTGGTAGTGATACCTCCTCAGAAACCCAAGGAGGGGCCGATATGAGTCAGAGACAATTCAATGGCGGTTGTTAGAACTGTATTCAAACCTCACCCTAAACCTTAGATTCTTAACTACAGTGCCTCTGTCTTCACTCTCTTCTCTAATATATCATTTTAATGCCTCTCTTGCCAATATCCTCGTCTTTGTTGCCACTTTATTCTTCTGTCACTTTGCTCTGAAAATTTCTAATCTCAATCTATTCCAATTTAGCTGCTAAGTATACCTGGAAAGAATTAAGCCAAAAGATCCCTCTTAATGTGAGGTTTCAATCTCACATAAGCCCCACACATCGCTGTTTGAAATATTTTACATGCTTAGACATCAATAGAAAGGATGAAGGCTGGCCCTGATATGTAAACAGACCTCAAAACCCACAAACCCCATTTTATTCTGCCACTAGGTGGCACTAAAAAAAATAATCCACCAAACCCACTGCCATCTGGTTGATTCTGAGTGGCAGTAAAAACACTAGCAAATAATACTTTGAGGGAAGAGGTCTGCCAAACAAGCCTATATATTCTTTTGTTGTTATGTGCTGTCGAGTTGGACCCGAATCATAGTGATCCTTGGGTTTCTGAGGCAGTATCACTAAGGAAGTAGATTGCCAAACCTTCCTTCCAAGGAGTAGCTGGTTGGTCTGAACCATCAGCCTTCTGGTTAGCAGTCCAGTGCCTTAGGCACTATGCCACCAGAGCTCCCATATTTTAAACTCTTAAAATCCACTTCTAAACCATTTTGAATTAGGAGAAAAAAGGACTTTTTGTTTTTTCACTAATACTAAGAAAACTTCATATTTAAATAGTGTTTGACATTCATAAAATGTCCTCATATACCATTTCTTAATTATAGGACCTATGAATGTTTTTTATTATGAACCAAACTAGGTTCAGATTGATTATGTGGCTTTTGGTAAAATATAATGATAAAACTCAAAGCTAGAGTTTCTGATTCCAAGTTAAAAGCCCTTGGAAATAGTAAAAAAAATATTAGTAAAATAAACTAAAATAAGATAAAAATAAATAATACCCACACTTGAAATATCTCTTTTTGAAAAATTGAGACATTTGTATTCAGAAGGCATTTCAGTGTTCAGAGAAAGCATCAACTGATCATTAGTAGGTGCATTTCTTCCTAAGCTAGGACTTAGCCTGTTGGGGGGTTATTTCCTGCATCCAGATATGCTGTGTGGGCAAAGCTGTTCCTGATGTAAGGAGAAGCAGCTTCTCTCCTGATTAGGGTCCACCACTGCCTCCATACCTACAGTTGATTTCCAGCTAAAACTCTTTCTTAAGTACCTCCAACTCCTCACTGTTCACCAAATCCAATGCTTTCTTGCATTCATCTCCAATACCTGATTTTAAGAAGGAAAGATCTAAAAACAAAACAAAAAAAAGTTGTATCTTCTAAACAGGGGTTCTAACCCAGGGCAGTTTTGGTTCCCACAGAATATTGGGCAATGTCTGGTGATAGTTCTGGTTGTCACTATGTGGGAAGTTGGGTGGCTGCTGCTGGTATCTAGCCAAGGATGTTGTTAAACATCCTGCAATGCACAGAAAAGTTGCCCACCATTCAAAAAAGAAATTATCCAGTACAATATGTCAAAAGGCAGCTCTGGTGGCATAATGCCTATAATGCAAAGGCTGAGAAATCCTGGTCCAAAGTGTGGATTTAAATTTTAACAGAAAATAAATGGAAGGCAGATCTAGGATAACATTCTCTGCAACCCAAAAGTCTTAAGCCCTAAAGTGCTTTTAAAAATCCTATAGTCTTACAGATGTCAGTCATTTCATGTTCTGTCTCTCTCTACATCTTAGCTTTGTTACCTTCAGCAGTTTGATTGTGCTGTGTGGGGGTCAACTTCCTCATCTATTCAGTCAGAAGATTGAATTGGATAATTTTTAAGATCGCTTCCAGTCCTAGAATTTGACTTCTAACTATATTATAATGTTTTTAACATTTTGATACCAGTGATTTATTTACAAGCAAAAACACAGACTTTACAAATATTTGTTGTAAAAAACATTGTCATTCTTTTTACCTCGCTTGATTTAATTTATGATGCACATTAATGGAATGATCAGAAACATTACCCTGAATGGTTACAGAACAAACTTCCCAGTAAGTTCCCATTTTCATAGCAATCATAAAATATATCAGGAAAATGTATAAATTTCAATCTTACTTGGCACCATTCTCCAAATGATCTGCACAGGGACCATATTTGTATTCATAGACTAAACGAGGGATGTAGTCAGATGTAATAGCAATCACAAACGCATTGGTGATCACAGCCAATATGCCGATTCCTTCAAGAATTCCATACCAGATACCTGTAGGAAAAAGATTAGAGAATGAAGATGAAACAACTAAAACACTAAATTATGTTTTGGAAAGAACATTTTAACATATATACTGAAACCACAGCTCTGCTGATTATTTACTTTATTAATAAAATATCTCACCCCAGATATTACAGTTTTTAATAGACCTTTCAACAGAAGGAAAGTAGACCCATCAGGAGAGATCTGTAAACGGAAGTATCTTTAGGAGTTGGTTATTCAGTGATTCATGTCTGTAACAATGACACATGCATGGTATAGGTGCAAGATATTTCAAAGCCAAATCAAAGGTACAGTTGTGCTGAAGTAAAAAAAAAACAACAATAATAACAGAATATTCAATGTCGACCTGGTGGTGCAAATTTAAAAATATTCATATTTACTATGGGTTTTACCTATATGTTTATTAAGTAAACATGCACAAAAATAAAACTAAATTGGTGTCAAAATTTGGAAATCATTAATTGGCATTTTCTACTTCTTAAGTGGTCAGTTGACTTCATATAGACAGAAACTGAAGCTTTCAAAGTTGTATATAGGATCAATATGTTATTGAGTTTAGTGAAAACTACTGTTTCAACTAGGGTTAAACTTAGCTTTAAAATAAGGAAGAAAATAAATACTGGAAGGAATAATCAAAAGAGCTAAAATGATTGAAAAGTGTAAACATTTTTTTTCCTTATTTTTCAAGAATTTTATAATGTGGCTACATTGATTTATAATTAAAGAAAAAGAAAAAAGAATGTTAAAGTTTTCTTGTTCAAGGGTATCATAAGAAATCATAAGAAATAAGAATCCATAAAAGAAACAATATATGAACACATAAAAATGAAACATTTGTTTATATGAAAGTCACTGCATTCATTGAAAAGAAAGAAATGGCCTATGAGAAAATATTTGCTCCACAAAAGTAGACAAAGTTAATATGCCTAATATAAAAAATGATGCTAAAATTAATAACAGAAAATATAACCCAATAAAAAATGAGGAACATACATAAATTGAGCAATTTGCTATGGAAAAGCAAATAGCAATCCATGTAATTGCAATTACTAAAACTGAAAGAAAGTCCCTTTAAAACTGAAGACACTTTTCATTTTTCATCAGATTTTCAAATATTTGAAAGTGTTATAATGTCTAGTACTATTTAGGGACTGTCAAAATAGAAACTCTTTTATATTGTTATCGGAAGCCTGAATATCATAACATTTTTTATAATTAATCTGATAACTTTTAAAATTAAAATATACATATGCTTTAAGTCAGTAGGTCTACTTTTGGAGATCAAGACTCCAGATACCTTACACATGCATACACACAAATGTGATGCATAATGTGGCGGTTAAGTTTGTGTGTCAACTTGGCTGGGCCCGGTTGAGTGGCTGGGCAGCTGAATGTAGTATTCCCCATGATGAGACTGGCAATCAACTCCATGGTGGAATCTACTGTGAGTAGCTGAGTAGCTGCCTTTGGGTATGTGGTCTGCTTCCTGTATATAAGAAACAGCTTTGGGAATGGTCTCTAGCTTATGGCACCTTGAACCCTGCATGTAGCCATGTCATTGTTCAGCAGCCTGCCATGCTCTGCTAACCTTGGGTCTTTCAATGGACTTAAATTAATGGCCTGCCATGTAGTTTGGTAACATTGGGACTGTGCCATTTTATTTGTTGACCTTGGGCTTGTTAGCCTTAGCAGGTGGCAGCTGCCTGAGTCAAGCGATGACTCTAGCTTCAGTAGGCTGGGAGCAGGAGGCAGAGCTGAAGCCCAAGGCCGAGGGGCTTTCACCCAGCCCCTAGAGCCTAGCACTTGGAACTTGGACTTCTAGCCTCCCGAACTGTAAGAGAATAAACTCTTATTTGTTAAGGCCACCCCATTTGTGGCATATTCTTGTCAGGGTGGCACTAGGTAATCAGGACACATAATATGTAGATATTATCTATGTCTTTATTTTCATATCTGTATGTATTGACACATATATTTATTAATGTTTATTCTTGCTATTATGTTATTATTTGTAGTGAGGAAATAAAATATTAATGATTCTAAAAATTACAGTAGATCCATAATATGAATATTAACACTCTATAAAAATCAACTAGACTGATAAGTTTTAGCTGGAAGATGTTTATAAAAGAAAAATTAAAAGCAAAATCATATAAGTTTCTCTGAGTGAGAAAAACACTGACAAGGAATACATGCCAAACTGTTAGCATTGAATACTTCAGGAAGAAGAGAACAGCAAAAAGAAAATGGATAATGGATTATTAATTATTTCATTTTACATCTTTGTTTTGTCTTGCTGATGCAAAGCACAGTCCAGAAAAGAAAAATCCATACTTTAAAGGTATAATGAAAGCTAAATGAAGTTGTATTTGGGAGTTTTGTTTTTGTTTGACCAATTTTCTAAATTTTCATGTGCTTATATTAATATTGAAATCAATATATGTACACCAAAATTAAATGGTGACAATACTTTTTAGTTGATTTGAAAAATGCAAACTTAAAATGTGTGATGTTAAAGCTATACAGATGAGTATATTTTAAATAGAGTTCAGGGATATGCAATATGCAAAAAAGGAACAATTCACTGAAGATAAAACATTGCGATATTAGCCAGAAATTTTCTGAAAAGAAAAAAAACAAAAACTCACTGCCATAGAGTCATTTCCAACTCAAAGCTTCCCACTCATAGTGAATACTTCCTGGGTTTCCAAGGTGGTATCTTTATGGAAGTAGATTGCCTAATCTTCCTTCTGAGGAGTAGCTGGTGGGTTTAAATCACCAGTCTCTGGTTAGCAGTCATATGTGTTAGGCACTATGCCACCAGAAAAATAGCATGAGTTTGCTTTCTGAAATACTTGAGCTTAAGCTCTGGTGGCAAGTGCCTAAGGCATTTGACTGCTAACCAGAAGGCTGGCAGTTCAAACCCACCAGCATTTCAAAACTACAGTTTATTAAACAATACGCCAAGAATAAATTTGATCATTGGAAAAACAGAGATTCTTGAAATATACTTAAGTCAATGCAGAATTTAGTATACTAGAGACAATTCAAGCAAGTAGGAAAAAAATATAATCATTTAATATATGGTTTTGGGAAAACTGACTCCACTACAGGAAAAGAAAAAGAGCTGGATCTTAATTTCAAAACAATCTAAATAACATTATAAAAAGCTAATTTAAATAATATTATAAAATGCCCAGAAACAAAGTATTGCTAAATAAACCAAAATAATAATAATAATAATAATAATAATAATAATAATAATATGAAATAACAATGAAAACAGTGAATGTAGAATAATTCTAGCAGGTCTTTTGAAGAATATCATAAAAGAGAAAAAAGTAAGAAGGGACATATATTTAATTAGTTATCAATTTAAATTAGTTTAATTAGTTATCAATTTTCAAACATATTCCTGATAAAGTAAATAATTAAAAGTAAGCATTTGAAAAATGTTACAACATATATATCAAATATAAATGGATAATATCCATATGCTTTCAGGGAAGACCAGTTAATACTACTATTATTTAAATCTATGGACAAACCACCAAAGCCAAAGATTAGGAAGTTGAAGATTTCTACCAAGTTCTGCAGTCTGAAGTTGACCAAACATGCAATCAAGATGTGTTGACTGGATTGCAAAAGTTGGAAACAAAGAAGAGTTACCAGTAGTTGGAAAATATGGCCTCAATGATAGAAATAATGCTGGAGATTGCATGATAGAATTTTGCAAGACCAATGACTTATTCATTGCACATACCTTTTTTCCAAGAACATAAACAACAGCTATACACATGGACTTCACCAAATGGAATAAACAAGAATCAGATTGACTACATCTGTGGCAAGAGGCAATGGAGAAGCTCAATATCTTCAGCCAAAACAAGGCCAGGGGCTTACTGTAGAACAGACCATCAACTGCTCATGTGCAAGTTCAAGTTGAAGCTGAATTAAATTAAAACATGTCCACGAGAGCCACAATATGACCTTGATAATATCTGTTCCATATTTAGAGACCATTTAAAAAACAGATTTGATGCACTGAACACCAATGACCAAAAACCAGAGGAATTGTGGAATGACTTCAAGAACATCATCTGTGAAGAAAGCAAGAGGTCATTAAAAAGACAAGAAAGGAAGAAAAGACCAAAATGGATATGAGAAGAGACTCTGAATCTTGCCCTTGAATGGAGAGCAACTAAAGTAAATGGAAGAAATGACAAGATAAAAGTGCTGAACAAAAGATTTCAAAGAGCAGCTCAAGAAGACAAAGCCAATTATTATAATGAAATGTGAAAAAACATGAAGTTAGAAAACCAAAAGGGAAGAACACAGTCAGCATTTCTCAAGCTGAAAGAAGTAAGAAAAAATTTAAGCCTCGAGTTGCAATATTGAAAGATTCTATGGGCAAAATATTGAATGATGCAGGAAGCATCAAAAGGAGAGGGAAGGAATACACAGAGTCATTGTACCAAAAAGACCTGGCCTATCTTCATCCATTTCAGGAGGTGGCATATGGTCAAGAACCAAGGGTACTGAAGGAAGAAGTTGAAGCTGCACTGAAGGAATTGGCAAAGAAAAAGGCTTCAGGAATTGATGGAATACCCATTG